TCCAACGTTTTAACAAACTTCATTTGAACATTGAAAGGTGTTCATTTTTTTTTTGCTAAATTGGAAATCAGTTTTTCCATCAACCTCTCAATATTGATCTTTGAACCCATCATTCTACTTAAATCCTAACAAATGGCTCTGATACCAATTCGTTAAAACTATATTGTTGTACTCTCAACTGACTCAGGATTTTTCAAAATAGCCACTATTTTTTTTTTTGGGACATTTAGGCCATTTAAGGCAAACTCACACACACAACGCATACACATAGACTCGAATCCTGAACCTCTTAGTTAGAAGCCTAAGCTCTCAACCAATAGGCCAAGAAGACTTGTGTAAAATAGCCACTAAGACTTTCACCTAAGAGTTAAAATCACGGAAAATAATAAGTTATCTTAAGGTTACAAATACCCGGTCACAAATTGCTTATATGAAATATTTAGAAACTTAAAATGATTTATCTATAATTAGAACATAACACACAAGTTAATGATTTCTTGATTTAAGTAATTAAAAATTTATATTAATGATTTATTTACAAATATTAAAATTAGCAAGCTAATTAATTTTTCTAATTAATTAGAGAGATTTTTCACTAAAACTTACACAATAATATGGCTAAGAGAAACTTGCAACCAATCAAAACTAGTAGTAAAAAGGTGTTTGATTAAATAAACATGAATATTGTTGCAGGCTATAATATTTGTGGAGATAAAGTACAAAAAAATTTCAAGTTTTAACATTACACGGGTATCCAACTCACAAATATAGATAATATAAACACTGGAATTTTTAACGTGAAAAATCACGAGTATCCAACAAAGGAAAAAACCACGAGGCCACGCCCAGTTGAAATAAATATGTTAATGTTTGAATAGATTAAAAATGATTAATTCATCCTTGAATTTAAGTACGGTCATTTTACAATATTCAATTATCAGGTTGAAATCTAGCGACGAATAGAGATCAGACGAAAGTTCGGCGGCGGTCGATGGTTGAGCATAAATCCGACATCAATTGGTGAACAGGCGGAAGTTTGACAACAGTTGATGATCGGGCAGAAGTTCAAAGACAATCGGTGGCCAGACATAAGTCTTCCAATAGTCAATGGTCGACCAGAAGTCTGACGACAGTTGGTCGATGGGTGGTGGTCATGGAGGAATCCGGCAGCAAGAGAAATCGAATTTCTCTTCCTTCATTCTCTTCTTTGTTTGGGTTCTCTTCAATGAAGAATGAGTGGTTTATTTATAGTTTTTTGAGAGTCACATATTCAATAAATAGGGAAAAGATCAATGACATGATGAGAGTATTTTGAATGGACAACTAATATAGACTCCCTTGATCATGGACCGTTTATCAAATTTTTGAGCATATTAATAATATCAGAATTTGGAGAGCTTGGGCTCATTATATTCTTCTCATTGAGCAGCTCGAATCGACAATAAGCATGCCACTTTTGAAAACCATTTTTTCATCCAATTTATGGTTTGAACCTTCCAAATGCACTTTGGGTCTTCGATTTGGACCTATTTAGGCTCAGAATTGGTTGAATTCGGTGTGTTGGGTTCGTCTTTTCGAGACGTTCAGTTTGCTAAAATTAGAATTTGGATGGTCCCTGATTTAATTTTGGAAGTTTTCAACTCAATTTTGCTTTCAGATTTGTGCCCAATCATGATTAATTTTTGATGATATATCAAATATATTTGAAACTACATTAAGAGCAAGAATATTTTATGAAAAATAGTAAACAATATTATAAATATCAAACTAAGAATCTTGCTAACTTGAATATAAACAAGTTGAATGCAATGAATCATAAGATCATCCACCAAAGAAATGAACAAGAGCAATTTACATGATTCAACACATTTTTTTGCCTACATTCAAATGGAGAAAGAGGGTTTATATTTTTATTCACTTGCACGAATTAGTTACTGTTGCGGGCTAGAACATACGTAGCGATAGAGTTAGAGTCCTACGTCTTAGAGTTGTATGGATATCCAGCTCACACACAAAGAACACAAGATTTTTTTTACATGGAAAACCTTGGAAAGGCGGAAAACCATGGGGCCAAACCCAGTTGAAAATGATTACACTAGAATTTCAATAGATTACGATGGAATGACTCGTCCTTGAGGGCGATCAGATTACAAATGTCAATTGTAAAGTTGACGTCAGGGGTAAATGAAAGTTCGATGTCACTTAATGGTTTGATAGAACTCAGGGCCTAAGGATATGGTTCGACGGAACAAAGGGCCTCAAGTGGTGGTCCGGCAAAACTCCGGGCGTCAGGTGGTGGTCCGACATAACTCAAGGTCTCAAGTGGTGATCTAGAGGAACTCAAGGCCTTAGGTGGTGG